CAAGAGTTTGAGAGCCTACAGAGTCTGATTGGAAGAAGTGTGTTTGCATGTTGCGATATTTGTTTTGTACATCGTTGTATCACCTGACACTTTCCGCAGAATCACTACGAGTCATGAAATGGATGATTGACGCATCATTTACGGTGCATCCAGATTTCAAGAGCCACACTGGCGGCACTCTGTCCTTTGGAGGAGGTGCAGCTCAAGTGATGTCAAAAAAGCAAAAGCTAAAGAGCAGAAGCAGTACGGAAGCGGAACTGATTGCTGTTGACAATGTTGTCACAATGATACTATGGACAAAGTTGTTCATGGAGTGGCAAGGGTATCCGATCGAGAAGAATATCTTGTATCAGGAAAATAAAAGCGCAATTCTACTGGAAGAGAATGGTCGCAATATCGATATTTGTTATTTCTTTATCACAGATCAAGTTGAGAAAGGAAATGTTAAGATCAAATAGTGTCCAATTGACGATATGATTGCGGATTTCATGACTATGCCATTGCAAGGTGAGAAGTTTCGCAAGTTCAGGGATCTGATTCTTGGTCCACAGGAATAGGTCAGACAGGTATGTATATGTTCAAATGAAAATACAAAACAAAATAAACAGTGAATGACAGCATGTCCCATTGCTGCCAATGGTGATTGTCGCAATGGCAGGAGTGTGTTGGGATATGACAAAATATGAGTTTTTACGTTCGAAAAAGAAACTATTCAAGTACAAAGTTTTCAACAGGTACGATCGGACTTTGGTCGTGATGTCAGGATTCAACGCAAGTTTGCTGGACGCAAGTCTGTCGGACAATCTATATCCACACAAAAAGGGAATGATCCTATACAAGTGGGATATTTGTGTTGTGTACGATGCAGTAGGGAATAATACAAGATGAATAATACAAGATGTCCCAAAGTACTGCATTCAACACAGAATTGTCGTAGAGGTTGAATCAAGTTCTGTAAACAAGGGATTTTCCAAGGGAAAATCGTTGAACTTACTTTTGTGATTGAATCATCAATTCAAGCCAAATATTAATCAAATAGGAACATTTTCACTTAAAGTATACCTAGACACAGGAGAACTATTGTGGTGAAAGTGTTGTACAGTCGATTACAAATTTAGATTGCAGAGAGTTTGTTCTGAGCGCTAAAGGCACTCATGATAGAGCACATTTTGCTTTATTCTAACAACGCACACAAGCCAAGAGATTGCTTATGAAACATTCTCGGACAATTTCACCACAACGATGGACAGCACCATTGTTCAAAACCTTGCAGGATTGATGATTGTGCAAGAAGGACAGATACGCTTGATGCCAGCTATCAAGAAGAACATCCAATGGTGCAGAGATGAGATCCGCATGCGACAACACCCTGCCACAATGCCACTTCCTGTTGTTGATACAGCCAAACTGCTCAGACACATGAAAACACACGTTGATGTTGCAACGATCGCTACCACAAGACTTCACCAATGGGAAGATTGGTACCCAACATTCAAAAATAATCTTTACACCATACCAGGAAGAGACGGCGTGCAGCTGAGTTACATTGTGAGAATGAACGATGCAGGAATACTAACCCTGCACGAAGATTTCTTAGAAATATACATCAACAAGCACCACTCATTGGCAAAGCATACGTCATGGACAACTCCAAAGTACTAATCCTTCTAAGCAAGTTTAGCGTGGGAAATACCAAGGCTGAGGCGACCCTCCAAGCCATCAACATTGCAGGTAATGGAAGAGAAGCATTCAAGGCCCTGTGTACCCACTATGAATACAAAGGGATACTAACCTCCAAGATTGTCGAAGCTGAACACACCATCAAAGAACTGTGTTGCGTTGGTGAAATACCCAAAATGAACTTGTCCATGTTTGAACAAATGCTGAAGAAAGCGTATGCAGCCTACAAAGCAAGGTTACAGAAACATTTCTACAACTGAACAAGACGGCAATTGATACAGAAATTGGCAAAAGAACAATGTTAATGACTTTCATGATAGCATTATGAATCTACCAAACTGCTGTGAGAGAAAAGTTTCCCCAAGGAATCTGCAATGCAACCGATAGGGGACAATACTTGAGCAAAACTAGAGCTGACAACAATTGCGACAGAAGCAGGAGCCAAAACGATGGAGAAGGCAACAAACATCACAACGAAGAAGAGATTACTCTGAGTAATTGAGAGAAGATCTTGTACCATCCTAGCTACCGTTTCTCTCTGACACACCTATGAGCGTTTACCAATAAACAACATGAATGCATGGCAAAGGAAAGAGCCGCATACGGAGTTAGTCAAGGATTGCCAGCAAAAGACAGGCCGCACAAACACAACAAGTGGAAATGCAGCTGGCGGAATTGCGAGTCAAGGTAGCATCAATGAAATCAAATAACGTTCCTGCTACAGTCCCAGCCAAAGCAGCCATGCAGATATCACAAGTGACCATGGGAATGGCTGGAAGTACAGCAATGTGCGGACACAACCAACAGGCAAGCGGGAGGACCTGAAACACGATAAGTGAGATCAGACAAATTGTAAAGGTGATCTCATCCAACAGAGCCGCATCCCAGCGACCAGTGCAACAGCCAACACCAGGAACAACGGCAAGCAATGAGATGGACACTATTGCCGACACTTGTTGTCTTGGCAAGAACTTTGTTATCATGAGCTACACATCAAGATTGGCGGATGTGTACGCGTACAATCAAGCTCTGCCACCAACATGGACTTTATGATCTATGGATGGGTATACTACTGCACAGATGGCGCCTTGGGGACAAAAGAAATAGGCCGATGGTTGGGAGTGTACCACAGGACGGGTCCAATGATGACATATTGGACACTGGACCCACCGCAAATTCACATCGTTCACATCAGTAGTACAAAAAAGGCAGGAGGAAAAGCTGCGAGAAACTTCTTCTTGCTTCAAAAACCACCATCCATGTATGTATCATTTATTGATTCATTTCATTTCTGTATCTTTTGTGGTGAATTATTAGCCTGCAATTTGCTTGACATCATTGCTTGATTGATGCCTTTGTATGTTATCCTTACTAGATACAAACTCAAGAAACAAACAACTTGAATTCGTTCAAAACCTACCTAGTAGGTCCTAGTACATCATTGAACATTTGTTTTCATTTTCCTCAGGCAACTAATGTCTAGCTTCATTAGAATTGAACTATGAAAAGTAGGTTTATTGTTACACTTAAAGTATGTTTGCTGGTTTCGAACTTCCATAAATTTCCGTGATGTCGAATTTGAAGTGTGGAGGAAGTCAAATTGAATCGCTGCATGATATTATTCCCGTTCCAATATCCTTTCCACCTTCTACAATGCCAGCATTTGTCATATCTCCATTACATCTAGCTTAACGGTTATATGAACTGATTGTTGTTTTTCCACCGCTGCCACCGTGCCTTTCTTCTTCCCATTGAACTTGCTAAAGTGCGACGCGCCGAGAGCCAGAGGGCCAAGAGCCGGCAGTTGCCGTGGAACTGACCCACAGAGACGGTCTTTCCTCAGCGCAAGAAGCTTGGACGAAAGAAGGAGCGGTCGCAGCGCTGGATCCAACATCAGCCGCACCGTTTTTCTCGCCCGAGGCGGCAGTTGGAATTTCAAGGCCAGTTGTCGTCGGTCGTGTGGGGGAGTGATGGAGCTCGAAGGCAAGGAGAATTGTTGCTTTGTAGGAAATCAAGACCGCTGCCTAGACGCGGATCCGGAGGCCTGCCTACTTTCCTCGGCCTCCCGATATCAAGCGCCAATCATCCTGTTGTATTGTTGTGTTTTTGTTGCGCGACAAACATCAAGATTGCGGTAAGCTCTTGTTTTTCAAGTGCACTGGGGTCTGGACATGTGGCGTCACGACTGGAAGTTTCACGTGGAAACTCAGGAGCGCCATGCCACAATTCGTCCCCTCCAGTTAAGAAGTGATCTTTAGTGGCAGATGCCGCCTCCATGTTTAGCGGACAAACAGGAGCGATAGCGCCAAGTCCTCAAAGATCATTGGCTGCACACCACATACCAATCTACCGTTTTGGTATGCCTGTCCATTGGCAGCATGGGTGTGTACAAGGGTGCAGCTCATGTGATGTTCCAGCTGAACATCACGCTTTTGGACGTCTCTCCTACTCTGATCTTCAGAGTTAGGAGCGTGTTGAAATTGCTCTCTTGGAGACCAACTCCAATAGAAGCAGTTCGACATGTCCGATCGGACAGACGGACAAATGTCCGTTTGGTCCGTTTATTCGGGGGATTCATTCCTATGAGTCGGTTTTGCAGGGAATCCGAAAACATGGAATTGTACGCTTGGACCATCAAAAGTCTGAGCGCCACGAAAATCCCATACTGAATCCTGCGGGAGTTCTGTATGTGGGTTTTGTACCGGCCTCTCTGGATTGCAAACATCCAGTAAAGGTTTGGGAAATTTGAGTTTTCGTGCAAGGCTTTTGCTTTGCCCATTCCATGTAGATATCAAGTCTTTTAGAATAGTTATTTCCTGTAGAGGTGATTATTTCATATTAGACGGATCAGAGATTGCTATTGTCAGTGCCTCTACATGACGACTTGATGGGTCGCATGTTGGCACGGCTGGTTGGCAATGATGGCTTGATGGGCCACAAAGTTGTCAATTGGTTTGGACGACGACAAGCCTGTTGCTTGTCTGATGTCCGCCAGAACCAAAATCCAACTAATACAGACAGTTACTTGAACGACACGCAGATTTGGTTCCATGGTTCTCCGTTGCTGTTGATTTGATTGGTCCATGGAAAGTTGACATCAACGGTAGAGAACTTGAACTCAACATGTTGACTTGCATTGATCCCGTGACAAATCTCACTGGACTTGCTTTTTGAGAATAAAACTGCAACACATGTGGCAAGTGTGTTCAAAACTCTGTGGTTGCCACAATATCCGAGACCATACAAATGTATTCACAATCAAGGAGGCAAATTCATTGGCAAAGCTTTTCAAGCGAAACTTGCTACTTGGGGAATTCATGATGGCGGAACCACTAGCAAGAATGCAAATGCAAATGCAATCTAAGAACAAATGCATTTGACAGTGGCAAACATTTTGCGCACCAGATATTGCAAAGCAAAAAGATTTGATTACAGAATTGGTGGAGAAGTTTTAACGGTACGTCCGCCACTTGTCAGACCCTATTATGGCGGAAGACCCAGGTTCTAAAATCACCCACAGACCTAAAATAAAATTTTTCTCCATACAAAAGTCTTACCTTAGATCCTTATCTTACATTCTATTGGGTGGGGTCATCGTGATTGTGCTCTAGACATTCACTGCAGTCAAGAAGGAAATTGATGTTTTGGACAGCAATTCAGATCATTGGTTGTTTTGGTGCCTTATGAGTACAGTATGACCTGAAATCACTCATGGGCAATCTGAGTTCCGATTCGTAGCTGGATTGGAGCATTCTTTGATGAATTTCAGGCACATTTTGTAAGTTGTAAATTTTCAGTTTCAGTCCACAACAGTCCTAGTGGCAACTTTTGGAGCTACAGTGCCTTCCCTGAGCATAATGATAACAGCCCCACCCAATAGGATACAAGATAAGGACCTAAGCTAAGACTTTTGGATGGAGAAAAACTTTATTTTAGGTCTATGTGTGATTATAGAAGATGGGTCTCCCGCCAAGATAGTATGAAATGGGCTTCTTGAGCGGCGGACGGACCGTTAATCAAGAATACTGATGGAAGGAAGTCGGATCCAAAGTACAGAGGTCCATGTCCTATTACAAATGTTTACACTAATGGTACAGTGTAAATTCAGCACACAGATGCGATCTGTGAGAGGATCAACATCAGACGGCTTGTGCCGTTCTGTCGAGTCTAATGGCCAATATGCTTGCATCGCCCATTGCATCAAGAACCACCTCTGAAGTTGAATGGAGAATCAAGTGGATGTAAGGACACCTTGTGACTTTAGTGTATGATCAATCGACTGGCTCTGATCATAGAAGAGAAGAGTGTAATGACCTTGGAGTGACCTTGGAACTAGATTAGACCCTTTGGAGGTACAGACATAGCTTTAGGCCTAACTCTCACGTCACTCCTTTCTGTGGCTTCTGAGAGACTCTATAACTTTTGTTGTGACCCATTCCTATCTCTTCTTCTAGGCTGGTTCAACACGGTCCTGGGATACCCTGCAGTTTGTTGTAAATCATGATTTCTCTGATTTTTATCAACTCGTTGTGGTCATTTCACCCTCTTTTGCACGAAGTCAATATTATCGACTTTAACTTATTACAAAGAAAATTCACCACTCAACTATTTAGCAGTCCTAAATTTTGTTAAGCATCCAACTGTGTTCGTTGTAGTCCGCCAAAAGGGGCTGGTGTGTTTACAACAAAAGCGGAACATCTGTAAATTGTCGTAAATTCTGTCAAATGCCCTACAAGAAATCTACGACGACAATTCTGTCATAATTTATGTTTTTCCGTAAATTAGGACATTTAAGACAAATTACGATAAAATCCACCGAGTTGACGGCAGTGCATGCGTACTTTGATAACAGTTACTGTCCGGCGCAAAATGAATAACACTTTCTAACAGCAATCAAAGTCTTTTGTTGTTCTCCTTGGTCATTGTCGTAATGGATTTTACGACATTTTTTGTCATAATTTACGACAGGCTACGACATTTTTTGTCGTAATTTACAACAAAATTGGGATTTGGAGGATCTAATAACCAGAGGGATTTTCCAAATACGCTTTACTTGTGTTCTAAATGATTTATATATTGACATGATTGCCTCAATTGGAGGTATTTTGGACAGTCAGAATATCCGAAATAGTCTCAAAAATTTGTCATAAATTTTGATGACATTATTTGTCGTAATTTACAACACTCTATGACAAAATCCACAGAGTTGACGGCATTGCATGCGTGTCAAATCAACCGCCACTATTTCTTCATGGAAAAC